TTGATACTGGCCATGTAGTCACAAACTGTAAGGCTGGAGGTGATGTCCTGGTAGTCAGTAAATGTGGGGCTGATAGTGCTGTCCTGGGAGACAGTAATGGTGAAGCTGGAGGTGCTGTCCTGGGAGACAGAAATGGTGAAGCTGGGATACTGTCCTGGGAGACAGTAATGGTGAAGCTGGAGATTTTGGTCCAGGTAGTCGGGAATTATACGCAGGAAGGAATACATATAAATGACCTCATAGAGGATAGGAGCCATAGTAGGGAAACAAGTGTAGTCAAAGATAAGATAAAACCAAAATTGCAAACTAGAAATACCGAGGAAATAGCAAAAAAAGAGGACTCCAATAGCAAATAGTGAGGATAAATTACCAAAAAACAACTGGTGGGAGCTCCATTGTTTTGGGGCTAGGGAGGATAGGAATAGACAGGGAAACATGCAACCCAACAGGGAATACAGTCACAGAAACCCAAGGCAAACGGAAACCAAGCCTGTGCACATACTATGCACTTGGTATCTGCTGGCATGGGAAATCTGGAAAAACAGATGGGACATGCAACTATGACCACCCTAGAAAATGTCTGCCCAGTGACAACAGGAAAAATGCAAACTCCCTTCCTGTAAGCTTTTTCACCCTGAAATGTTGTACCTCTTCAGTACAGGAAAGACTGTGCTATAACTTAAATTGCCAGGCATACCATCTAAAGGGGACAAAAAGATACAAAACATCCAGGCCATGGGAAAACCTGGGTAGCCACAGCCATTTCAAGAGGGAGAGGTTTTTTAGTGCCAGGAAGGAAAAAAAAACTGGCAGGAAATGGCAGAAATCGTACACCAAAAATCCAGTCATTCCTGGAGTGGAACCACAGTCGATGGCCTCCACTCCAAACCAACAGATACAGATACTAATGCCGGAAAAAAAATCCCCCCCCCAGTACCAACAATACCACCAGCCGGGTTAACATTCTTCTTTGCAAATATACAGGGTCTAAAGCCAGCAACAAACAACAAAATACCTTTCATCCGTGGACTGCTTGCAGAGGCAAAGGCAATGTTCGCGGCTTTCACTGAGACCCAAATAAAGGATCACTTGGACAACGAAATATGGATCCCAGGTTACAAACCCATACAGATGTGACAGAGTGAACAGGCAAAAGGAAGGGGGGGTTTTGGCCTGTACATTGGCAGAGGTCACTTGTTTGCACAGAACTGCTTAATGCCTCAAATGACGTAGTGGAAGTTTTAGCAGTAAAGGGCGAGAACCCAAAAACCTTTGTCATTGTGGTAGTCTACAAGCTCCGGATGCAACATCCCAGCAATTCCAGGAACAGCTGTTAAAAATTGACCACTGTCTGGAAAAACTTCCAGCTCCTGCACCCAACATCTTGCTCCTGGGGGATTTCAACTTAAGGCACCTAAAATGGAGGAATATAGCAAATAATATTGTTGCAGTAATAACACCAGGAGGCAGCTCTGATGAAAACTCACACTCACACGAGCTTTTAAATCTCTGCACAAAATTCAATTTAACCAGCAAATAATAGAGCCTACTAGACTGGAGAATACACTAGACCTCATCTTCACTAACAATGATGATTGATAAGAAATGTCACCATATCAAAAACAATATACTCAGATCACAACATAATTGAGGTTCAGACATGTATGCGTGGAGCCCCAGACCGACAAATGAGACTAGTCACGAGGGAGCATTCACCAAATTCAACTTCAATAACAAAAACATAAAGTGGGACCAAGTAAACCAAGTCCTAACCGATATAGCTGGGAAGATATACTAAGCAACACAGACCCAAACTTATGCCTAGAACAGATTAACTCGGTGGCACTCGATGTATGCACAAGGCTTATTCCTCTAAGAAAAAGGAAGGAGTAGATGTAAAATAGAAAGAGACAGGCGCTCCCTTTACAGGCGACGGAAAAGAATAACAGAGCGGCTAAAAGAGGTCAATATATCTGAAATGCGCAGGGAGACACTGGTCAGAGAATAGCAAGCATCGAACTTAAGCTAAAAGAATCCTTTAGGAGTCAGGAATCGCGGGAAAGAACTAAAAGCCATAAATGAAATCGAAAGAAACCCAAAGTATTTCTTCTCCTATGCCAAATCAAAATCGAGAACAACGTCAGTATTGGGCCCCTACTTAAACAAGATGGGTCCTACACAGATGACAGCAAGGAAATGAGTGAGCTACTCAAGTCCCATATGACTCAGTTTTTTAGCAAGCCGTCTAACCAGACTGAGAGTCGAAGATCAAAATGAATTTTTTGAGAGAGGCCACAAAATTTGATTAACACAAAGCCTATCCGATGTTTATCCTGACGCCAAATGACTTCGAACAGGCGAATAAATGACATGCCCATGCACTCTGCCCCAGGGCCAGACTCAGGGAACTCTGTGTTCATCAAGAACTGCAAGAAGCCCCTATCACGAGCCTTTTCCATCCTATGGAGAGGGAGCAGGGGACACGGGGGTCGTCCCTCAGTTACAAAAAAACAACAGACATAGCCCCACTCCACAAAGGGGGCAGTAAAGCAACAGCAAAGAACAAACAGACCAATAGCACTAACATCCCATATCATAAAAATCTTAAAAGGGTCCTAAGAAGCAAGATCACCACCCATCTAGAAACCCATCAGTTACACAACCCAGGGAAAACAGGGGTTTTTTAAACAGGTCGCTCCTGTCGTCTTAACTTGGATCACTACGACAAGGTCCTAAATGCACTAGAAGACAAAAAGAAGGGCCGATGTAATATATACAGACTTTGCAAAAGCCTTCGACAAGTTGGACCATGGCATAATAGCGCACAAAATGCGCCCCTAAAGGAATAACAGGAAAAGTCGGTCGATGGATCTAAATTTCCTCACTAACAAAAACACAGAGAGTAGTCGTCAACAGAGTAAAGTCCGGGGCAGTACGGTGAAAAGCTCTGTTCCACAAGGCACATACTAGCTCCATCTTGTTCCTCATCCTCATAACCCCGACATAGACAAGGATGTCAGCCACAGCACCGTGTTTTTCCTTTGCAGATGACACCCGAATCTGCATGAAAAGTGTCTTCCATAGCGGGACACTGCAAGGCTCCGGCGGACATCAAACCAAATTTTCAGTGGGCTGCAGGAAAACAATATGAAGTTCAAAGATGAGAAATTTCAATTACTCAGATATGGTAAACAGAGGAAATTAAATCTTCATCAGAGTACAAAACAAATTCTGGCCACAAAATAGAGCGAAACACCAAAAGTCAAAGACCTGGGAGTGATTATGTCGGAGGATCTCACCTTCAAGGACCATAACATTGTATCAATCGCATCTGCTAGAAAAATGACAGGATGGATAATGAGAACCTTCAAACTAGGGAGGCCAAACCCATGATGACACCTTCAGGTCATTGTTTTATCTAGGCTGGAATTTGCTGCACTCTAACAGCACCTTTCAAGGCAGGTGAAATTGCCGACCTAGAAATGTACAGGAACTTTCACGGCGCGCATAACGGAGATAAAACCCCTCAATTACTGGGAGCGCTTGAGGTTTCTAAACCTGTATTCCCTGGAACGCAGGAGGGAGAGATACATGATTATATACACCTGGAAAATCCTAGAGGGACTAGTACCGAATTTGCACACGAAAATCACTCACTACGAAAGCAAAAGACTTGGCAGACGATGCACCATCCCCCCAATGAAAAGCAGGGGTGTCACTAGCACGTTAAGAGACCATACAATAAGTGTCAGGGGCCCGAGACTGTTCAACTGCCTCCCAGCACACATAAGGGGGATTACCAACAGACCCCTGGCAGTCTTCAAGCTGGCACTGGACAAGCACCTAAAGTCAGTTCCTGATCAGCCGGGCTGTGGCTCATACGTTGGTTTGCGTGCAGCCAGCAGCAACAGCCTGGTTGATCAGGCGCTGATCCACCAGGAGGCCTGGTCACAGACCGGGCCGCGGGGGCGTTGACCCCCGAAACTCTCTCCAGGTAAACTCCAGGTAAACTGGTGTGGGTCACATCCTGGGTATTAGTGGACTGGTGTGGGTCACATCCTGGGTGTTAGTGGACTGGTGTGGGTCACATCCTGGGTGTTAGTGGACTGGTGTGGGTCGCATCCTGAGTGTTAGTGGACTGGTGTGTGTCACATCCTGGGTATTAGTGGACTGGTGTGGGTCACATCCTGGGTGTTAGTGGACTGGTGTGTGTCACATCCTGGGTGTTAGTGGACTGGTGTGGGTCGCATCCTGAGTGTTAGTGGAACTGGTGTAGGTCACTCCTGGGTGTTAGTGGACTGGTGTGGGTCACATCCTGGGTGTTAGTGGACTGGTGTGGGTCACATCCTGGGTGTTAGTGGACTGGTGTGGGTCGCATCCTGAGTGTTAGTGGACTGGTGTAGGTCACATCCTGGGTGTTAGTGGACTGGTGTGGGTCACATCCTGGGTGTTAGTGGACTGGTGTGGGTCACATCCTGGGTGTTAGTGGACTGGTGTGGTCACATCCTGGGTGTTAGTGGACTGGTGTGGGTCACATCCTGCGACAAAAGTGACCTAATTTGCGGGAAATGTTCAGCATAACAAGGAACTTTCTACACATTAATATAACATTAATGTCAACTATGGTCTGTATAAGTTGTATCATATAGAAATAAAAACATTATTATTAAATATAATTAATTAGTGTACTATTACTATCAGCCTGAAGTATATAACATACTACTGACTATTTTGTGTCTACCAGTATTTTATTATATATAAAGTTCATTATTTTGTGTATAAGAAAGAAATACATATCTATATTTGTTGTTAGTTAATTAGTTGATTATTATTCTGACATTACGTAGTAATGACTATTTTGTGACCACAAATATTTTATCATATATAACCTGCGTTATTTTGTGTACAACATAAGGAAAAGTAAATTTGTGTTTATCTGGTGTTAGTATTAGTTAATTAGTTTATTAAGGTATTAATTAATGTTGTAGTGTGAGATGTCTAGTGTCTGCTGGTTCACTCTGCTGACAACATGCTGCTGCTGCTGCTCCTCTCTTATTTCTGGTTTTTGCTGCTTGTGTACTGCTTTATATTGGTAAGTGGTTATTGTTGTGTGTGTTATGTGGGCACTGATGCCTGGGTTGGGGGGTTTTTGAGGTGGGGTTGAGGGTAATGTCAGGTTTATTGGGGTTTGTGATGGTTTGTTATCAGCTGATTGTCAGAGGTTTTTTTTTTACGTACTTTTGTTTGGTGTTGTTATTGGCTGTTATTTTGGGGTTTTGTGGTGTTTGTGAGGTATTATAGTGGTTGAGGTTGTTGTTTATAAATTTTTTTTTCAATTTTTTTTTATTCGTCATAAGACGTGTGATTAATTTTTTTTTTTTTTTTTTTTTTTTTGGGGGGGGTAAATTTTTTCCCACATAGGCTTGTCCAGTGTGACTTTTTGATGCTGATGAAGGGTTCTTGATCCGTGGAAGTGGACTTGTCCTCCACATCCTCGGATTGAACCTGATGACCTCCCCTTCCCCAGACACTCTGGCCCCTACGGGTAATATATCATTGGCATTATACAATAAATGTTATGTTTCTTTATACCGTACAAAAATTATGTAGTTTACATATACAAAAGAAAGTCAATACTCTATGCATTCCTGGAACACTAATTCTAATGCTTAGATGTTAGTTTAGATTTAGATGAGATAATAAATTATACATCTACATCTGGGTAGCTTTATTTTGTAGATTTTTTAGCATCCAGGGGTTTTATTAATACAAGTAACAGAGGTGGTCAGTCCCTCATCCTCCACAGAATATTATTCACAGACACAAGATGAGGTAATCAGTCCCTGAGCAGCAGATCAGGTAAGTAAGTTTATTCAGGTATACACAAATACAGTTACATAGAATTATCATACATAGCAGCATGTGTGTAGAGAACCTAGGATAACCCAAAAAAGTCAGACAGAGTGACTTATTTCCATTGGTGTCGAACACTGTTGTCTTGATTAATCTGAAGTACAGGCAAGAAGATGGTAACTTGTGTACTGAATCAGTTGAAGTGCAGCAGGTGAGGGCGGTTGTCACTGGTAGGTGGGGCCCACCAGGGAAATAGAACATGACTAAGAGTTAGAACAGAGGTTTGTAAGATGTCTCACAAAATTGTGATGAGACTATTGCAAACAAAGCACAGTACAGGTGGGGTTAGAAGTCATGGCAAATGAGTCGTAAAATGCCAGGCCAGTGCGTAAGCCACTGGGCCAGCTGGCTACTATAAGATTCTTATTGAAGCCAGCTGGCTACATAAGTATGTAAATTGCCATCTTCCTGCTTGTGCTTAATAATTATTTCTACTAGGTATACAGACCATACCTGGAGTTTACCTGGAGAGAGTTTCGGGGGTCAATGCCCCCGCGGCCCGGTCTGTGACCAGGCCTCCTGGTGGATCAGCGCCTGATCAACCAGGCTGTTGCTGCTGGCTGCACGCAAACCAACGTACGAGCCACAGCCCGGCTGATCAGGAACTGACTTTAGGTGCTTGTCCAGTGCCAGCTTGAAGACTGCCAGGGGTCTGTTGGTAATCCCCCTTATGTGTGCTGGGAGCAGTTGAACAGTCTCGGGCCCCTGACACTTATTGTATGGTCTCTTAACGTGCTAGTGACACCCCTGCTTTTCATTGGGGGGATGGTGCATCGTCTGCCAAGTCTTTTGCTTTCGTAGTGAGTGATTTTCGTGTGCAAGTTCGGTACTAGTCCCTCTAGGATTTTCCAGGTGTATATAATCATGTATCTCTCCCTCCTGCGTTCCAGGGAATACAGGTTTAGAAACCTCAAGCGCTCCCAGTAATTGAGGTGTTTTATCTCCGTTATGCGCGCCGTGAAAGTTCTCTGTACATTTTCTAGGTCGGCAATTTCACCTGCCTTGAAAGGTGCTGTTAGAGTGCAGCAATATTCCAGCCTAGATAGAACAAGTGACCTGAAGAGTGTCATCATGGGCTTGGCCTCCCTAGTTTTGAAGGTTCTCATTATCCATCCTGTCATTTTTCTAGCAGATGCGATTGATACAATGTTATGGTCCTTGAAGGTGAGATCCTCCGACATAATCACTCCCAGGTCTTTGACGTTGGTGTTTCGCTCTATTTTGTGGCCAGAATTTGTTTTGTACTCTGATGAAGATTTATTTCCTCATGTTTACCATATCTGAGTAATTGAAATTTCTCATCGTTGAACTTCATATTGTTTTCTGCAGCCCACTGAAAGATTTGGTTGATGTCCGCCTGGAGCCTTGCAGTGTCTGCAATGGAAGACACTGTCATGCAGATTCGGGTGTCATCTGCAAAGGAAGACACGGTGCTGTGGCTGACATCCTTGTCTATGTCGGATATGAGGATGAGGAACAAGATGGGAGCTAGTACTGTGCCTTGTGGAACAGAGCTTTTCACCGTAGCTGCCTCGGACTTTACTCTGTTGACGACTACTCTCTGTGTTCTGTTAGTGAGGAAATTATAGATCCATCGACCGACTTTTCCTGTTATTCCTTTAGCTGACATCAATGACATACTACTGTCAGTTTTGTCCCAGGATGCGACCCACACCAGTCTACTAACACGTAGGTACCTGTCTTACTGATGGATCAACAGAAACAACAGGCGTAAGGAAACGCCCAATGTTTCCACCCTTGATGGGAATCGAGCCACAGACCCTCAGTGTGTGAAGCGAGAGCTCTGCCTACCAGGCCATGGGCCACCTTAATGAAGACTTACTATGCTCAGCACCTGCTCCTAGGCTCAGGGACTGATTACCTTATCTTCTACTGTCTTGTGTATAACATTCTGCAAGGATGAGGGAGTCATCACCTTTGTTACAGTATTCCATTCTTCCTTGTATTGATAAAACCACTAGATAGAAAAATGTTGCACAAGTCTACTTTATCATGACCCATATGAGTTGAGTACTTTCCTCCTAAATTTGACCTGAATGTATCAAATGGTTATAATCATAACCATATTTTTTAAGGGGGTGGACTGGTAAGCCAGCAGGTGTCAGTCAGATAACCAAAAGCTCCAGCTGCAGGTCATCATATGACTAAAACCCATGGCTTGAAACGTGTCCTGACACACCTTTCCTGACTTAGCCTAACCCCTAAATATAATTATTTTTCATATTTAACCATCATACTATTTAATGATATTAGTTTTTATGTAGGGGAAAATTACCCTCAAGGCCTCGATACTGGTAGAAAGCCAGCCAGTTAGCTAGCCAGGAAGTCAGTCAGCCAGCTAGGAAGCCAGCTAATCAGCTTGATATTGACATTCTTGTTGTCACAAGTCTCTTGGGTCTGAAACATGTACTGTACAGTCTGTTGCCTGTTTAGTACACTACCACCCACCCCTGTATCCTGCTCACTTAGAAGACACACTTCACTATTACTCCATTTATGATAGGCAAGCAGGCAGACTTTCAATGTTTCCATTTAAAGGGAAGGTAGGAAGGGATGGGGAGGAAGAGGGAGAAGGAAGGAGAGGGAAAGTAAGGAGGTGAAGGGAGAGAGGTAGGAAGGGATAAGAAATAAAGGAGAGGGGAGGGATAGGAAATAAAGGGAAGGAGAGGAAAGGAGAGAGATGAATGAATGAATGGAGGGAGGGATAGGAAATGAAAGAAAGGATAAGGATAGAGGGAGAGGGAGATGTCAAAGAATGTTTGCATTAGTTTTTTCTTGGCATGTCAAGTTGTTATCAATATAGAGGACTAAGTCTGTTTTATTGGTCTTTTGTCACTGGTAGTCTGTGAGGTGGACTACTCTATATTGGACGTTTCAATTAAGTGAACTATGTCCACTTAATTGAAACCAAATTTTTGGTAAATCAGACATCCCTTCCCCTATTAATCCATTTTTATCAGGCTTAACTGGATTAGTAATTTTATAGTATGCTACATAATTCAGTAATTTTACTCTCCTTTTTTTGTGGTGGACAGATGAGTTGTAAATATGATATTTGTGTAATTTTTACCTTTGCCCCTAGACAAGGCCTTAAGCCTCAGGTGCCCCATTTTCTCAGAATAACTTTTGAGTCAAAGATGTAAAACTGCTACTGAAAATATTTGCAGCTGGGATGATGGGGGCAGCTGGCAACCACAGGTTTTCTCTTGCCACCAACTCATGCTTTAGAAGCCATTGTTAATTGCAATTTACTTAATGTCATACAAAATGCTCTGAATCCAGGGAGAAATTAGACTGAATGGTGAAAGTACACATGAGCGAATATAAACTGTAGTGGTACTGGTGGTCTAGGCTTAGGAACAAAAGTGGATAGGTCCTCCTGGATGCAGCCACTTTGGCTTGTTCCAGACAAACATCCGAGTTCATAGACTTGGCCTGATGCTGCAGATGCCAACCGGACACTATCACTACTGACAAAATGCGGAATTATGGACTTTTTTTCTGTTTGGTCCAATAATTAAAATGTTTGTCTGACCAGTATTTTTGTTCAAAATTGCTGAAATCCGTTAATAAATATGTCATTAAATGAGAGGTTTTATTGTATATAAAGTAGTACATACCTTGCATGGTACAGTTTTGAGAAGTATGGGTTTTGATATACAGTTTATAAATTTAATAATATAACTTTTATTTAACTGCATTACACACTGGTATTGGACTATTGGTATGTATGTACTGGACTAGCATGATGCCAGCATTGGTATCACTCTAGACTCCAAGCAGTTAAGTTGCGTAGTCTTGTACAGTACATGTACAGTGGACCCTCAGTTAACGATATTAATCTGTTCCAGAGAGCTTGTCCTTAACTGATTTTATTGTTATCAGAATTAATTTTCCCCATAAGAAATAATGGAAATCCAATTAATCCGTTCCAGACACCCAAAAGTATTTAAAAAATAATTTTTTTACATGAAATATACATTTCCCTACACAGAGAACAATGAGACATGCACAATAATTACATAATGAATACTGAAATGGCACCTTTATTGAAGAGTATTGATGAGACACTGTTTTTCTGATTTTCAAAGTGATACACAAGTAACGGCATCACTTTGCAATCCCCACTAGCATTACAACAAAACATGAGAGTTAGCC